TGTGTCATATATAGTTATATAAACTTTAGTTTTAATTTATTTAATCAATTATTTTAAATTCTTATGAGAAACATTTAACTTTCAGAACAAGGAATTTTAAGACTGATCTAATTCATGCAAAATGGTTTAAGTACTGAAACAAGAATTGGGTCCCCTCAAAATTCATATGATGAAGTTCTAACCCCCAGGACCTTAGAATGTGATTCTATTTGAAGATAGGGCCTTGAAAGAGGTAAGTAAAGTAAAATGAGATCATTTTAGGTAAAATCCAATATGACTAGTACCCTTATAAGAGCAGATTAGAAACAGAAACAAACAAAAACAGAGGAAAGACCATGTGAAGACAAAGGGAAAAGATGGCCATCCACAAGCCAAGGAGAGAGGTCTCAGAAGAAATCGATCCTGCTGACAGCTTGATCTTAGACTTCTAGCCTCCACAACTGTGAGAAAATTAATTTCTGTAGTTTAAGCCACCCAGTTTGTGGGATTTGTTATGGCAGCCCTAGCAAACCAATAAATCCATATAACTGTAAATGTGTGAAAATTAAATATTTAAGAAAATCACAAAATCAATTATTGGCTAAAGTTTCTTGATATGGAAAATGTATCATTTTAATTTTTTTTCTATTTCATGCAGGATAAAAAGCTTATTCAAAAAGTTATTCATTCAACACATAATTACTGAGCATCAACTATATGCCAGGAACAGCAGTAAGCACTTGCAATATAACTGAATAATATGCATAAAAATTCCTGCTGTCAGGGGCCGGCCAAGTGGCTCAGTTAGTTAAGAGCTCACTCAAGAGTACAAGCTCTAGGTTAAGAGCTCACTCAAGAGTTTGAGCTCTGAGCAACAGTGGTTCGAGTCCTGGCCCGAGCTGAGCAGCTGCTGAGCTGCCAACAGGTGGCAGGATGGCTCAGCTAAAAACAAACAAAAAAATTCCTGCTGTCATGGAGCTAATATTCAGCAGATAGTAAACAAAATAAATATGTATATTAGATCCTGACGTGTGAAAGAAAAAAAAAAAGCAGGTAAAAGGAATGAAACGTCAAGGGGTTTGGTAGTAGTTAACATTTTATTTCTTTACTGCCCCACACCCCAGCTGTTGACATTTTAGATGGATGGTGACTTCTAAGTCTTTACTCAAAGGAAGTGAGGCAGCTAGCCATGAGGATTTCTGGAGGAAGAACAGTTTACAGGCAGAGGGAACTTCAAGTGTAAAGGCTTTGAGGCAGGACCACATCAGAAATATTCACAAAACACAAGCTAGCTGAGAGTATGGAGGGGAGAGTAACAGGAAATGAAATTAGAAAGATAATAGACCTTATAAGGGATGTATGAGAGAGGGGTCAAGAAATTACCAAGGAGTTTATCCTAGCAATGGGAAGGATGGAGTTGTCGCTGAGATAGACACTTAAGAAGTTGGTTAAGCTGGGGCTGGGGAAGGATATCAGGATTCAGTTTTGAGCATGTAAAGAATGAGATGTTTACTAGATGTTCCATGGAAGTATCAGGCAACTGACCGTGTGAATCTGGAGTTCAGAGGAGATGCCTGGGCTAGAGATAAAAATTTGGGAGCCACCAGCATTTAGATAGTAAAGCCATTATCTGGAAGAGATCATCTAGGGACTAGGTGAAGATAGAAAAGAGAAGAGATCCAAAAACTGAGTCATGGGGGCACTCCAACCTTTAAAAGTTGGGGACACGAGACTGGGAAGAAGTAGCCAGAAAAGGCAGGAGGAAATCAGGAGGATATAGTGTCCTAGAAGCCACATATTAAAATTGCTTCAAAGAGAAAAGAAATCATCCATGTCAAAATATGCTGGTAGGTCAACTAAGATAAGGACTGAAAAATTACCTCAGAAGTTAGAGATAACAAATATATGCAACTTTCAAAGATAATATCTAACAATATATAAAACTCCTTTTTCAGAAAGTGCACATGAAAATGGTACTGAAAGGCTAAAAAGATCTTATTGATTGCTGCATAGGGAAATAAGTTATAATATCAAATTTAATAGATTAAGTGTTCTAACATAACACAATTATATATTTTCCATATTTTAAATGCTGCATAAGTAGAGTACCACTAAAAGGGAAATGTTTTTCTGCATACAAGTTCATGATGAAAATCAAAAAAGTGGCTTCAAGTTGTATGTTTATTTATTTAGTAAACTGGAGGAGCAAAGTATAATTTTTTTACCAAAAATACAAGGCAACAAAATTTATTTTCTAATCTTTAATATGAGATTATTAATATTCACATTTTACGGCGTTTTAGTCACAGTTTTAAACAAAGTGATGTCATGCAGTTTTCCAGTCAGTTTTGGTATAATAAATATAAACTGCTATTAGGATTATTCTGCCTTATGAACCCGCTGTTAAATAGGAATACCTACTTATTTCAGATCCTCTCACCATAGCAAAAAAGGTAAGGCTACAGTGCTCATGAAGGGAAAGGGGTGGGAGGCAAGCTAGAGTCGTATATTCAATCCTTCTCATGGATCTGTTGGCTTCTTTTCTCTTCCTAGTCACAGATAAAGTGTATTGCCTGGTCATAGACTGCAGAAGCACTATTTGTTACAAGCAGAACTAAGATGAGATGAGTCACGTATAATAGTAAATACATAGTACAAATGCCTATATCCTCTCATTCTATGTATACATCAGGCATCAATAATTGATCAAGGAACTCTTTCCACTGAATTTTGGGAACTCTTCTTAATGCCATTATCCTGAGTCACCACCAATTGACCAAGATTAGAATATGAGTTAAAACCCATTGCCAGTCCTACATAGGAGGTTATCCATTTTTACTATTGTCAATGTCATGTTTTTATGAAAGGAAAAGCATGTTATCTGTATTGAAAAACATTGTTATCAATTTAGTCTCATGTAAGCAAGTTATTTCAATCATGGACAAAGCAAAGAATAAAATGAAACATTTCAAATTGTTTAATGAGTCACTGAGAAATTGGAATAGATGGAGTCACCTTATGCACAGCCCTAACAGTAACAAGTTCTCCAGCACTACATAAATCCCCAATGCCAACTCTGAGTAAGGTACTGGGGAAGACGGAGATTTGGAATAGAAGATAAAAAGATTAATAAGACGTGATGCTTGCCCCCAAGGAGCTCATTATGTAAACAGGCAGAATATGTCCTCACTAACTATAAAAATGACTAATATTCCTTAAGCATCAATATGTACCAGGCACTATTCTAAGTCCTTTATATATACTAACTCTAATATTCACATTATGTGAAGTAATTATTACTATAATCCAAGATAGACTGTTATAAATGTTCCCAAAGGAATAATTATGATGATGGAGATTAGAGACATCTTTAGAGGAAAAAATGACATTTAAACTTGGCATTTGTAATCTTATTTTTGTTTCTTGTAGGATTTTCCTGTTAGAGGAAGGGGCTGTTCTCAGTGAAGAGCACTGCATTAACAAGTGCACAGTCATAAAAAAGAATGATGTGTTTGGGTGCAAAAGAGTGGTACAAGCTTTTGGATGACTTTCAATGCAACATTAAGGTATTTGGTCTTTACTAGGCAAATAAGAGCCATAAAGGTCTCTGATCTGAACAAATGATATTTTTAGGAAGAAAACTCTGGTATCAGTGCTGATGAGCAGAAAGATGAGAGACAAGGAGATCAATTAGGAGGCTATTATGAAAGTCTTAAGGCAGGGCTTTTCAAACCTTGTGAAATCAACTTAGTGGGCTGTGACAAGCATTTAAAAAAAGAAAGTTAAATTTTAAAAATGTAGACAGGAACCTATGCTATAAGGGTAAATATTGCTTAACCAATTTTATCCCAATTCATATGTATATGCATATATTTGATAATGTGTATTTATATGAATACATGTACTGAATCATAAATTCAAATGTATTTCTTACTGTGGAAAGTGGTCAAAAACATTTGATAAACACCAACTAAGGGAGAGACGATTAGGGTCTAAAGCTGTAGCTCCTGGAAAATGGAAAAGTAACAAAGTTATCTGAGAACTCTTTCAAAGAGTTGAGTTAACAGGACTTATTGATGAACTTGGATGTATGGCTTGAAGGAAGTAAAGGGGGGTGTATGGTAAGCTAAACAACGGCTCACCAAAAAATACCTACATCCTAATCCCTAGACCCTGTGAGTGTTACCTTATATGGGGAAAAAGTACTTTGTAGATGTAATTAAGTTAGGGAACTTAAGATAGGGAAAGTATCCTCAATTATCCAGGTGTTCCCTAAATGCAATCACAGGGATCCTCAAAAGAGAAAGACTTGACACAGACAAAAGAGGAGAAAGCAGTATGATCACAAAGGCAGGGATTGGGGTGATGTCATCACAAACCAAAGAATGGGGCAGCCACCAGAATCTACAGCAGACACAAGGAACAGATAATCCCTCCCCTAAAGCCTCCAGAGGGAGTGTGGCTCTGTCAAAACCTTGATTTTGGCCCAGTGAAACTGAGTGCAGACTTCTGGCCTGGAGAACTATCAGGGAATACATTTCTGTTGTTTTAAAGCCACCAAGTTTCAGCTGCCATAGGAAATAAGCACGAAGAGTCAGAGGCCTCGGCAACTGTGTAGGTGGTGATGTCAATAACAAAGATAAGGAGCACAGGAAAAAGAAGGATGGTGAGGAACTAAATTTTAAATATAACAAATATGAAACACAGACAAATCTGGTAAAAAATATATAATAAGAAATCTGGTTTTTTATTTAAGATATCTCACTTCTAATCCTGTAAAAGCTTTAAAATGTTCAGGTCTCATGTATCTGTAATTTTCTTTGGATAATCAAACTTAAGATACGTGGTTTATATATTCTTTCTGTCATCTGACAATAGCTGTGGTTAAAACAGGTGCCAGCTTCTGGGATTATGTAGTGTCTCTGGAATGTTATTTCCAATAACTAGAAAATCTAAGAACCATCTGTTATTGTGGATCACTTACTTAAGCCATTCAGGTTGGCAATTTTTTCAATGCAGTTTGTAGACAGTGAAAGCTTCCTTAAAAAAAAAAAAAGGAAAACTTGAATTAATATGAAAAAATTTTAAATGTTATATCAGAAATTATTTTCAAGTGTCCATAGGAGATAATATTTAAGGCATACTTCATTTTGACCCTGAATCCTTTTTTCTCCCAGACACGGCATGTATCCCTTCATTTTGAAATCTTTATACTTTTTTCTGATTACACACCCATTTTAGAAAATTAAAAAAAACCTTTTTGAGGATAATTTGGTGTTATCTATATAATATTTTAATGCATGTATACTTTAACCCAGTAATTCATTTTTAGGAATATATCTTATTGAAATACTAATAGAAATGCCAAAAGATATATGAACTAGATTATTGATTGTATTATTGTAAGAGCAAAAAAATGGGGAAAAAAATCTATAAACATCCATCAACTGAGGAATAGATAGTGAACTACTACAGTGCCACTAAAACAAATGATATTGGGCTATAGATGCCAACTTAGGAAGCTGTCCACGATATGTAATTAAGTTTAAAAACCACCTAGCAGAACAATACATTCTATATGATTCCCTTTTGTAAAAAGCAGGACTATATATATGCGCCTATAGAGATACTTGTTTTCTCTTGTGTTGAATCATTCAGAAATGCATAAATATGTAATCCTAACCACCCCACACATTCTTCCAGAGATACTCTTAATAGTTCATATATATCTATCTAGATTTTTCTATACATACTTTAATTACATAAAAACAAATTTTTAAAGGGAGCATAATTACACATTCTTAGTCTTCCTTTCTTGACAAAATGTTTAATATCTTAGTAAATTTCATGCAAAAAATATAATAAAAGCTAATTTTATTGACTTCTTAGTGTGAGTCCAGTATTCTAAGTACTTTACATGTATTAACTATTTTAACCATCACAACAATCCTGTGAAATAAGTATTATTATTACCCATATTTTACAAATGAGGAAACTGAGGCACAAAGATTTTAAGAAATTTGCCTAATATTACATAGCCAGAAAGTGGCAGAGTCAAATTTAAACCCCCCAAATTTGATTCTAGAACACGTAATCATATTCTTTCTGAATTTACCTGAAGAGGAATTATTCATTTTTTTATTTGAAATAGCAAAATCAATTACTGTTTAGTGTAAATTATTGGTCAAATCTGCATATCTTCTAGTCATCCCCTACTCCCAAGAACTACTAGTGAAAAATGTAGTTCCTTAAATCTGGGAATATGGTTTGGAGAATAATTCTTTAATTGTTGTTTGGACAACTTGCCCAAAGAGACTGTCAGGTAAAATACGAACAGGTTTTCTTTCTAAGCGGTTTCCAAAGTACAATCATACGGGGTACAAAATTTCTCAAATGTTTGTCTTTGAAATGGTTTTATGATCAAAATATATTTGTCCACTTTGAAATAATGCTCGTGGAAATCATGTTTTTGAAGCAAAAGAAATAAAAACAACTCTAAGATGGATTTGTATGTAACATACTGTGCTCTCATCAGAATGGGCAAATTGCATACAATAACTAAATATGTTTGCTTTTCCCTTTAATTCCAAAGACAGATATTAGTCTAATGCACAGGTTCATAAATATGTGTCTAAGAAACACCCAAGTTGCTTAGTATAAATAAAGGTTCCTAGGTTTCATCATTAGATATTCTGTTTCATAAATTTGGAGTGGGGTTTATCTCCTGCATAAGGAGATTCTCATGTAGGTAGTCAGGGGACTACACTTAGAAAAAGAGAGAATGAAGAAATCAGAAAGAACCTCAAGTGATTCTATAACATTCTACAGCCCTGACAAGAAATACTGCAGCCTGAGAGCATGGTTACCAGGTGTCATGGGATAACTGCCACAGAACCCTGATAAAAAGCATATGGAGTATTTAGAAAGTAAGTTAAAAAATTAATATAGCTCTGATACTTAAAGTCATAGGAAAATAGGACTACAAAATAATAAGTGTAACTTGGTCTCAAATACAAAAAAGTTAGAAGGCTCAAACATCAAAATGCTAACAATGGGTCTTAAAAGGTGGTGTAGGGGCCGGCCGAGTGGCTCAGTTGGTTAAGAGCTCGCTCAAGAGTTTGAGCTCTGAGGAACAGCGGTTTGATTCCCTGCCCGAGCTAAGCAGCCACTGAGCTGCCAACAGGTGGCAGGATGTCACAGCTTAAAAAAAAAAAGGTGGTGTAATTCTGGTTGATAGAAATTCCTTTTCTTTGTGCTTTTTATGTTTTCTAGATGTTTTACAATGTATTTTTATAATTTGAAGAGTTTTTTAAAAACAGTATCTCTTAGGCCTCTAGTAAGTATAGTACTGACTCCAGTGGATAATTGTATAAGAGAAACTACTAGACTTTATGACACAGTAATAGTTTTATTGTATTATTTAGCTTCTCCCAAGAGACAAGGAAATTTCTATTTTTCAGGCGGATTATAAAAATTGTACTGAAAAAAATATTGTAGTGTTCAGGATTACAGGATTACTCTATTAAAAATCTTATAAACCAATAATCTTTTTTTTTTTTTATTAAACTGAGCCACCCTGCCACCTGTTGGCAGCTCAGCGGCTGCTCAGCTCGGGCCGGCAATCAAACCGCTGTTGCTCAGAGCTCAAACTCTTGAGCGAGCTTTTAACCAACTGAGCCACTCGGCCGGCCCAATAAACCAATAATCTTTTATGTTTGGCCTTGCCAAAGGAAGAATTAATTAAGTAAAAAAAAAGAAAGGAAGAAAAGATCACAAAAAAACACTTTTTTAGTTTGTGTCTTTAGAAAAGGAAGGGAAACTTAACAGCAATACTAGAAGGATGAACAAAGAGAAGAGAACTTACTCGCAATTAGCAAGCAGGGACAAGGATGCATCCATCTTCTCTATAGGAGGAATCTGGGCATAAAGCTTTATCTCTTTGGCTTCTGATGGCTTCTGACTGGTTTTCTCTTCCTGTGATAAAAATTAATTTGGAAGAAAATGATCCCTGGCTGTAATGTGGAACTAAAGAAGGCCAGAATTTCTCAAAGTTTTTCTATTTCGAAACAATTATTACAATTTAATAATTCTGTGTATTCTATATGGTTCACTTATTGACATTTACTTACTGACCCTGATAACCAAGCTTCTATTCATATATGGCTGACTCTGATAATTCATTGTTAGATCCCAACCAAAGGGAAAAAAAGGAATAAATAAAATAACTTTAATTTCTGTAATATTTAAAATCCCTTAAGTGTGTATCAATTAATAAACAAAAAACACAACAACAAAAACATTTTCCTGGGAAGAATTCCTTGGCCCTAAACAACCGTTCCTTAAATATCAGATTCAGACTTGTACAATCAACTGTTTTGTCATCATGTCTTCTTCCATACACAGATCAGTCTGAGTTAGAATCACAAACTACCAAGAATTTTGGAAGATATTCTCTTTGTAACACAGCTGAGGTAAAAACTAATTGCTCTACAATAATTTACTACTGAATTCTACCTTAGAGTTTAATTTTGGTACTAAGCACACAATTCAAAATTTAATTACCAGTAGAGCAGCTCCCGCAGCTCCTGCTCTGGTCCAACTTAGCCCAGAGAGGACACAGAGAGGACATCAGTCCCCGTGGCTTCGGCTGGAGGGGTGAGGACCCGCAGGCTGCAAGGGGCTACAGCGATGGTAGTGAGAAGGCCACCAAAGAGCAGGACATCAAAAACTACCTGAAAGAGGCCACTGAAACCATCGTGGCCACCATGAGCAACCTGGTGATGCCCCCCGCCACTCCCACCCACCCCAGTGGAGCTGGCCAACCCTGAGAAGAAGGTCGGAGTGGACTGCATTCTGAGTGTGATGAACGTGCCTGACTTTGATTTGCCTCCAGAATTTTACCATCACGCCTAGGCTCTGAGAGGATGAAGGAGTCTGTGCCTGCTCTGAGCGCTCCAAGTACTAGCTGATTGCGGCCCAGTACTTCTGGACAAGATCGATGCCATCAAGCAGGCTGACTGTGTGCCCTGAGATCAGGATCTGCTTCGCTGCAATGTCCTGACTTCTGGAATCTTTAAGACCAAGTTCCTGGTGGACAGAGTCAACTTCCACGTTTGACGTGGATGGCCAGCGTGATGCTCCCTGCAAATGTGTCCAATGCTTCAATGATGTGACTGCCATCATCTTTGTGGTGACCAGCAGCAGCTACAACACGATCATTCAGGAGGACAACCAGAGCACAACAGCCCACAGGAGGCTCTGAACCTCTGCAAAAGCATCTGGAATGTACCATCTCTGTGATTCTTTCTGTTCCTCAACAAGCAAGACCTGCTCACTGAGAAAATCCTTGCTGGAAAATCGAAAATTAAGGACTACTTTACGGAATCTGCTCGCTACACTCCTCCTGAGGATGCTACTTCCGAACCTGGAGAGGACCCACGTGTGACCTGGGCCAAGTACTTCATCCGCGATGAGTTTCCAAAAAGCAGCACTGCCCGTGGAGACGCACACTACTGCTACTCCCACTTCACCTGCACTGTGGACACCGAGAACATCTGCCATGTGTTCAACAACTGCTGTGACATCATCCAGCGCATGCACCTTCATCAGTACGAGCTGCTCTAAGAAGGGAACCCTCAAATTTAATTAAAGCCTAAAGCACAATTAAAAGTGAAACGTAATTGTATACGTAGTTAATCACCTGCCATAGGGCATGATTAACAAAGCAACTTTTCCTTTCCCCCTTGAGTGATTTTGTGAACGCCCCCTTTTCCCTTCAGCTTGCTTAAATATTCCTAATTTAGAAAGCTTAAGAGGGCCTAAAGAAAAAAAGGACACAAAACTTCCCTTTCTCTTTAAGTAAATAAAATAACAGCAGCAAACAGAAATAAAGAAATAAATATTGTGCGGCATTTAAAAAGTCAAAATTAAATGTGAGCAAGAAAATTTAATTACCAGTATATGCTGTCTAGTAATATTTTCTAAGTACATTAATATCTATAGTCAGTTCTATCTCTCCAACAAAACAGGGAGCTCCTAAAGCTCAAGGACCATTCCCTTTGCTTTCCTATAACCTAATGCAATAAGACAGAAAAGAGGCTTCTTTTAAAAAACCAAATCATAACACATCAATAACAGAAAATATACAATCAATTGAAAGAAAGAAAATTAATACACATCCACTCGGTACTTATTTTTGTGCCATAAGCCATAAATTTGTAGGTTAGGGGAGGGGAAACTGACACCTAGTGATAAATGTAAGGTTAATCAGTGAGTGAGTGAGCCTGATGTCTTCAAATAATCTTAAAGCCAAAGATTCATGGCCACAATGTAATCTAGAAATAGAACCTACAAATACAAAACAAACAAAACAAACAATAAAACCAATCACTGGTTATTATAAGTAAATCAAATAAAGTCCTAAAATCTGATTAAAGGGAAATCAAATCTAATACTAATCCTATTCCATACTGTATTTTTTCTTTAACAAAACAGGTATTCCACTAACCAAAAAGAAATCAATTTTTTAAATGCAACTAGAGTAAAAAGCTTATAAGCACTGAAACAAGAATGCAAATATTTCATTATCCTGTCTACTTTGTCTATTTTCCCTAGACGCCAAGTCTCCTGAAAAACTTTTTATTCAAAGCCCAGTTACAAAAGTAAGAGAGATATTATTATGCAAAAAACTATTGATGACATAGCCAAATAAGTTATCACTGGGCATAGAAACTGAGGAGCTATCTCTATACCATGTGGAAATTCTATCTATAATACTGAATTACAACTGTTCAAACTTTATAGAATGTTACATTAAAGTATTTGTTTATATTTAATGCCTATTTTTACAATATGGTTTCCTTTCTAATATTACTATACGCTTTAGTATTCTTTCCAGCTTTATTGAGATATAACTGAAATTATAACATTGTATAACTTTAAGATATACAACTAAAGTTAATTTACCATAAGGTGAGTTAACACATCTATCACCTCACATAATTTTTTTTTGAGTTAAGAACATTTAAGATCATTTTAGCAACTTTCAAGTATATAATATGGTATTATTAACTATAGTCACCATGCTATACATTATTCCCCAGAACTTGTCTTATAATTGGAAGTTTGTTCCCTTTGACCATCTCTCCATTTCCTCCACTCCCAAACCCCTGACAAACAGCATTCTACTCTCTGCTTCTATGAGTTTGGCTTTATTATATTCTACATATGAGTGACGTCATATACTATTCGTCTTTCTCTGACTCGACTCAGCATAATACACTCAAGGTCCATCCATGTTGCCGCAAATGGCAGGATTTCCTTTTTTATGGCTGAATAATATTCCACTGTATATGTATGCCACATTTGCTTTATCTTTTCATCCATAAATAGACACTTAGGTTGTTTCCATGTCTTGGCTATTGTGAATAATGCTGCAATGAACATGGGGATACAGATATCTCTTCAAGATAATATTTCATTTCCTTCACATATATAACTATTGGGTCTTTGGAAAAGTCATGACGTATTTTGTCTATGTTTTTGAAAGGTCACTTATTTATATAAAGAACAAAGATCAATCAATGATATATTGCCCGTTTTGTTCGATAACCTTTTGCCATCTTTCAGTGAGCTTCCTAATTCCTTGTTCATAGAAGGACCTGTCTTTATTTGCAAAAAACTGAACAAGGTGCTGATTTACAGCCTCATCTGAATTGAATGATATACTACACAAGGAGTTTTGAAGAGAGCAAAACAAGTGGAAGTCTGATGGTGCAAGGTTAGGCAAGTACGGTGGGTGCGGCAACACATCCCATCCAAGCTCCAATCATTTTTGATGGGTGATCAAACTTGTGTGTGGTCTCACATTGTCACGATGGAACACAACTCCTTTACAATTAACAAGCTCTGGACATTTCTGGATGACGGATTTGTTCAAACTGACCAATTGCTAATAGTACACATTCGAATTGTTTGGTTCCTTGGTAGCTCTAAAAACATGACACCTTTAACATCCCACCACACTGAGAGCATAGCCTCCCTCTGACAAATGTCTGCTTTTGATGTCGTTTGAGGTGAATTATCACGTCGGGACCAAGACCATTTGTGCACCACATTGTTGTAAACAATCCACTTCTCATCACCAGTTATCAGTCACTTCAAAACGGGATCGTTTTCCTCACGTTTAATGAGCATATTGCAGATATTTATACGCGCCATCAAATGAACTTCTTTGAGTTCAAGTGGAACCCAAATATCGAGCTTGCTTACGTATCCCAGCTTCTTCAGGTGGTCGTGAACACTTGAATGATGGATGTTCAATGTTTCTGCAATCTCTCGTGTCGTGTAACGTAGGCTTGACTCGATCAATGCCTTTATTTTGTCGTCATCAACCTCGGTGGGCTTCCCTGACCAAGGAGCATCATTGAGCTCAAAATCACCAGCATGGAATTTCGTGAACCATCATTGGCACTGACGTTCTTGTAGAGCATTATCACCGTAAACTTTATGCAACTTTTCACAAGCTTGACGCACATTCTTCCCTTAATGGAAGTAAAACAGTAAAATATGGCAAAAATGCACAGTTTGGTCTCCCATCTTCAACTTGTAAAATCTCCAAAACTCAACCAAATCGTTCAATTTTTTTTTAGAATGAAGCTAGAATTGTCAGCTGTCAAATGACATAGCAATAACATAGCTGCGAATGACTCTAGTACCTCCAAAAATGAACTAGTGCCATCTGTTGCAAACATGAGTCATGACTTTTCCAAAGATCCAATATAAGTGGGATTGCTAGATCATACAGTAGTTCTAGTTTTAATTTTTTTGAGGAACCTCCATACTATTTTCCATAATGATTATACCAATTTACATTCCCACCAACAGTGTACAAGGGTTCCCTTTTTTCCACATCCCCACCAACTCTTATATTTTTTCTTTTTGACTTTAGCCATTTTCACAGGTATGAGGTGATATCTCATTGTGGTTTTGATTTGCATTTCCCTGATGATCAGTAAACTGAGCATCACTTCAGTATTTGTATTAAGTGTCTTTTTAGTTGTCTATGCGTAATTTTCATTTGTCCACATTGGGTGTCTGTTCTAACTTCCAAGAGGCTGAAACCATCATCTGTCTAAAACTTAGATAATCCACAACACATACCACTCTATCAACTGAAAATAACATGTAACTTAATGATGATGAAGTTGAAAAATAAAATGTACTGTAACACAGAGATTCCAGTCCTCCTATAGCAATAGATGAATCAGTCTTTCCAGATTTCAATTTTCCAGATTTCTTTAATTGAAATTTTTTATTGAGACATTTGAAGATCCACCTGCAGTTATAAAAAGTAATATAGAAAGATCCCCTGTACATTTGTCCAGTTTCCTCCAATGATAACATTTTGTTCACAACCAGGATATTAATATTGATACAATCCACTGATTTAAATCAGATTTTCCCAATTTTACTTGTATTCATTTGTACATGAGTATGAATGTGTTTGTATGTGTATATTAAGTTCTATGTAATTTTATCACCTCTGTAGGTTCATGTATCTACCACCACAGTCAAGACAGTTAAATAGTTTCTATATCATAAAGATCCCTTGTATCGAAGGGTCAGTTTTAAATAACTATCCAAAAATTCTCTTTGTATGGTTTCTAAAAGAAGTAAAAACTTATATACTTACCCATCTGGCTAGGGCTTCTTTAATCGTTGTTGCTTTTGCCTTAAAAAGAAGAAAAAACAAGTCTGTCTTTATTGGTGTCATTTGTTGATTCAACTTTCATACAATAATTATTAGCCTTGGTAACTACCATTAAAAAGATTAACTTCTTTCTTTGAGATTTTATATGGAAAGAGAGTGTTTTAATATCCTGACATCTGAAAGACTTATTTAAATACCTCTCAAAGAAATTAAGGAAATCATGATGCAATGCCCATATATGTCACTCCCACTTAGATTACAAAAAATATATAGCTTTCAACACTTGATATTAAAATATATCTTTTTTCATTGATTCTAAGATCTACATCTTCTTTTAAATTTTAACATCTTTGACGTTTGGATGCATCTTACCACCAAGAATAATTTACAATTTGCAATTACAGTGACCAGGTGGCAGTGGTGAAGTTTTAGAAAAACATTAACCATTTTATTTCATATACACATATTCCTTTTTATGTTTGCAAAGGATGACATATGATAAAAGTCTATATGCCTAAATACATTTAAAAGAACTCGGTCAGTAAGTACAAAATAAAAATTCTAAGTGATAAGAAATGATTTTTCATAGTTTAATTCCAACTTATTATTCTTTCTTAAACATAAAAATAATGTTGTACCTTATAATCAATAGTATCTTAGATTCCATATATTATGACATTTAAAACTTTAAAGGTGAGCAAAGGAAGACATCCTTTGAATTATTGCTAGAGTTCATAAAAAAGAGAGAACACTAAACAAAAACAAACAAAAAGTTTTAAAAGTATATACTACCCTTATGGTCTAGAAAGTAAAGACATATTAATAAATAACTCTTGGATTAAAAGAAAATTATAAATGAAAGTAAAATAATAAAAGAAAAGAAAAAAGTCAAAATTTGAGAAATATGTATAAAACTTAAAAGGAAACTTATAGCTTCAAATACATTTACTTGAAAAGAAGAGACAACAAGAGATAGAAAAAAAATAAGCTAAGCAGTCATGATATTTGAAAAAGTACATGATTTCAAACCCAAAGAAGGCAGAAGGAAATACAAAGGACGAAGTCAATGAGAAATAGAACAAAGGGTGGAAGAGATTAATAAAACTAAAAGTTGGCTCTTAAATCTCTGGCAAATCTGAACGAGCAAAAAAGAAAGATATACAAATTAAAAACATACACTGAGTAAGGGGAAATAACACACATACCACAGAGATTTAAAAAATAAAATATTATAAGCAAATATATGGTAATAAGTTTGAAAAGCTAGACAAAGTATGCATTTCTAGAAAAAAACGAAAAGTGCTAGAACTGTCACAAGAATCAGAAAATATGAATAAACCAATAACTGTTTAAAACATTAAAAAGATAATCAAAGAGATTTACCCTCATCTTTCTCTCCTAAAGCTTCAAGCCTAGATAATTTTACAAGTAAGTTCTACCAAGCTTTCGAGAAACAGATACTCTCTGTTATACAAGTTGTCTCAGAAACCAGAAAAAGAGGGAAAGCTGCCAATTTACTTTATGAGGCTAGAATAACGATGCCATAACCAGATAAGGAGTCCTCTTTACTTCTCAAAGATTTGAAAAGCCTAGATAAGATACAATATTAGGTCTCCAAACCAATGGTATAATGATCATGATCAAGAATGGCTTTTCCCAGGAGAATAAGGATTGTTTAACAACAGAAAAATCTATAAATGTAAATAATTTGTTAATGAATAAAGGGGGGAAATCACATTTATTTTAATAAGGCAGAACTAGCACTCAATAAAGTTCTACATTTGGTATTAAAAGCTCTCAACTGGGGCCGGCCGAGTGGCTCAGTTGGTTAAGAGCTCAAGCTCTGAGCAACAGGGTCGCAGGTTCGATTCCCACATGGGCCAGTGAGCTGCACCCGAGCTGAGCTACAGCTGAGCTGCCAACAGGTGGCAGGATGGCTCAGCTGGTGAGAGCACATGCTCCTAACAAGGTTGCTGGTTGGGCTCCCACATGGGATGGTGGGCTATGCCCACCTGCAATTAAGATTGAACACAGCACCTTGAGCTGAGTGGTCACAGAGCTGCAGATGGGCGGCCGGATGGTGACTGGACTTGGAGCTGAGCTAGCGGTGCCCTCCACAACTAAGACTGAGGGACAACAACTTGGCTGTTCCCTTTCCCCAATTCCCCAACACAGTTCTCCTTCCCCAATTCCCCAATAAAATCTTAAAAAAAAAAAAAAAAGCTCTCAACTAAGAGTTTAAGGGAAATTCCTTACTTGATAAACGCTACATATCAAAAAGCTGTAACAAAACCTATACTTAAAGGAGAAATTCATTCATGTCAGCAAATATTCAGTGAATATCCACTATGTACCAAACATTCTTCTACATGCTTAGGATAAATCAATGAACAAAACAAAGATCCTTGGCTTTATGGAACTTACATCTATTGGCAGGAGACAAATAGTAAGTAATATAATTTTAAAATAAGTAGATTATATAGTATATTAGAAGATGACAATTACCAAAGAAAAAGAAAATGATGAGCTGGTAAAGGGTATCAGGATATGTGTGTATGTGTATGGAGGATGTTTATCTCAAAAAGGTGGTCAAGGTGGGCCAAATTGGAGAGGTAACATTAAAAGGATTCTAAGACCCTAAACGTATAAAGAATGTTTACTATCACTGCTACTATTCAACATCATACAAGAGGTCTTTATCAATGTTATAATAAAGAGAAATACAAATTGGAATAATTAAAAGGAGGAAATAAAACTCACTATGTGCAGATGATCATCTATGTAGAAAAACACAATAGAATAAACTGACAAATATTACAACAAATTGAGTTCAGCAAGTGAAGAACACTGTTGACAAAGTAAACAGAAAAATTGGGAGAAGATATTTTCAGTGTAAAACCAACAAAGAACTAATATCTAGATATATAAGGAAATCCTAAAATTCAAAAAAAAATTGGAAAAGTTGGCAAAAAATATACACAGAAAATTCACAGAAACTGAAATCCAGATGACTAACAAGAATATCATGAAGTATTCAAATTCATTAAAAATCAGAGAAATGCAATGGAGTTCCCATGGTATAATGGTGAACACTCTGGACTCTAAAAATCAGAGAAATGCAGACTAAAACAATGGAATACATCATCAGATTGGCAAGAGTTAAAAAAGTTGGTGATAATGTAGAGAAATGAGAATTCTCATGCATTATTGAAGGAAGTAAAAACTAACAGAGCCTTTCTGTCAGATGGCAGTGCCTAGGTAAATTATAATAAGTATACACAGACCCCATGAGTCTGCAATCCCACTTCTGGTTTTATTTTCCAGAGAAATCCTTGCATGGATCCATAAAAATATATAAGAACACTTTCAAGTTGGAAGCAATCTACCTGTCTATAAATTGGTTTATAAGGTCACTAGTTCCCATATAGATAGTAGTAATCAAAAATTGAAAAGTCTAAAAAAACAGTGGACATCATTAATTAGTAAAGCTGGCCACATAAGGAATCTCTACTCGGCTCTAGAAAACTGTTGGTAGATGGGACTTGGGACAAGAATTACCCTAGTATCTTCAAATATGTAAACTCCATTAACTGAAAGTACCATCCTTATTTTATGTACCATTAGGAAAGGAAAGATGCTGCCAATTATATAATTTCATATTTCAGCAATACAAAAATGTGGAAAAAATTGTCTGGTGATGAAATATAGTATTTCTGATTTTTCGGAGAAACCAGAAATCTGGGTTTTGATGTGAAATAGGATCACTTTTAAGACACTAGAAGCTAATTTTTTAAAATTAAAAAACCTAGATTCCAGAACTTTTTACTTTTCTTGGCAGTGGTTTTGGCTAAATGACTGCAGAATACAGTAAGGAAAGCAGGGGGGAAACTACTTTTGATTGAGGGTGGGCATGACTTCATCATTTCAATTTCTTGGGCTCAATTTCTGCCTATTTGAACAGCATTGGAAACACAAAAGGAAGACAACTAATTATACTTGTTTTTCATAAATATCTCCATCTGGCAAGACAATCACATACTTTGCTAAATAGTTTTGGCTGTATCTGTAACTAACCAACAACATCCCTTTTCAAACTACTAGTTGGAACTGCCAAGTATGTAAGCAAAACAGTGGGTATTTTAAGGAGTTAAGGAGCATCATTAGGCAAAATCATTACTTCATGAAGGGCTTTGATTGGATAGACCGCTGATAGATTTCAAATCAAAGGCAGTATTTCTCAAAATGTGCTGGGGTGCCCTCCAATTTTAGAATAACATGAGGTGCATTGTCGAAATGGACATTCCTGAACCCCCCCCCACATATTAAAAATTCATAATCTGCATTCCAACAAGCTCATAATGCATACGCCGACTAAAATCATACTTATGGTATACTGAAATTTGAGAAGCATTATCCTAAGGCATTCTATCAGAATGGGTTTTATAATGTTACCGAATAATTACACTCACAGTCATTCAGAGTTGGCAACCTGGGCACATCACAGGTTCCCCAATACTGCTGCAATCGGTGTTACACACATTCCTCTCCTAACCAGCTCCCCCCACCTCCATCCCGCCAGCGGGGGGAAACTACTTCTATGTAAAGTGATATCCTTATTCACACTCTCCCTTCCATCATCTTTCCAATTCTAATCCGCTCTTTTTCGGGAACTTATAGCTAGCTCTTTGCCCTCCCTTTTCTTTGCCAGAGTCCCTCCACATTAACCCAACCTCTAATCCGCTCCAGGCCGCCCTCACCCCAGACCACCCGGTGCCAGGGCTTCTCTTTTGCCCCAGGCCCCTGACTCCACGGAGGCACCATCCGCTACCGGCTCCCTTCCGCTGTTCGAGAACACCCTCCGCCCTCCCAATCCTCAATACTCCACAGCCACCCTTTCCACTTCCAATCTCTTCTCAGCTTTGGCTACGAGGCCTGGAAGGCACTCACCATTCCGGCGGTTGCTACTGTCACTGCTCTGGTTGCTAGGGCCCAGCGAGGTCAGCGCGCGTGCGCACTTCTTGGAGTTCTCCGCGGATCCCTACCCCGGCAGCGGTCTTTTTTCTCCGCCCTCAGGGTGGCGTGAGCGGGGAATTGTGGGACGGCTCTGCTGCAGCCTGGGTCCTCCTGCCCCGCTGCCCCTCGCTACCCAGTGGCTGCAGCGTGGCTGCTTGTGACGCAGCAGGGCTCCGGAGTTTAACCGCGCAGAGTGGTCAGAAGATGTGCTTTTCCCTACCGAAAGCACCCTCAGCTAATCTGGAGTGACGTACCTGCCTAAAGTTTGAAACTGTAAATTCTATTACAATTGCCCTGTCACATGGAAGAATTTGTAAAATTCCCTTTCCCTGTAGATGGCCCTTCCGGTTCTTCTCTTGACTGCCTGCTATAAATCACCTGACCGTCCGACTGAGGATACCCAGAGGTCAACTGGGCGGAATTTCTTGTTACTTTCCCCTAGCCCCTCCAGGGAGCCAGAGGCCGCTGAAAACAAAATGTAGGTTTTACATAATCGAGGTGTCTTTTTACCCCCAACTATCAAATTAGCCAAAAATTGTAAAAAATACACAGAGTTGCTAGGGAAGTGGAGAAACGGGACACATATATACACGGCTGTTCAAAATTGATATAGCCTTTATGGAAAGCTGTTGGCAATATGTATTAAAAGCTCTAAAACCTGCACATCTTTGACCCAGCAGTTCCACTTCAAAAACTTCATCCTGAAGAAATATCATACAAGTGCACAGAGATACATGTTCAAAGTTTTAATAGCAAAAAGAGAAACAACCCAATGTCAACAAAAGAGAGTTGGTATTATTGAACGTTCAAACAATGAAATATATACTTCCATTTAAAATGTTACTGAGGGCCAGCCGAGTGGCACGTTGGTTAGGAGTTGTTGGCTTGGCATGCCAGCTATGAGCAGCAGGACACCAGTTGGGATCCCACATGAGGGCCAGTGACACTGCGCCCTCTATAGCTAAGATGGTGAACAACAGCTCAACCTGGAGCTGGGCTGCTGTGAGTCGCTGGTGACGGTGTAGGCTGCAGTGGGGCTGGCCGGCAGCTGGCGAGAGCTTTCATGAGCTGCCCTGAGCTGCCATGAGCAGCCGTCCAATGGTGGCTCAGCTGCGTCAGCCGGAAAGAGTGTAATGATAATAGCAACATGTGCCAGTGAAGCCATGTCCTTCACAACCAAACTGAAGAACAAAAAGGACAGCAACTTGTCTGTTCCCCTTCCCCGATTCCCCAATGCTGTTCTCCCCCAATTCCCCAATTAAAAAAAAATTTTAATATAAAATGTTGCTGAAATGCATCTATTGACAGGCAAAGGTAGTCATGATGTATTCATTTAAAATACAAGTCACCAAACAAAATTATACATAGCACACACATATATACATAAGAAAACTAAAAGGGTTTAATGTTTCTTACAGACTGAACTGTGTCCCCTCAAAATGCATATGTTGAAGCCCTAATCCACAATGTGACTGTATTTGGTGATAGGGCCCTTTCAGGATGTAATTAAAGTTAAATGAGGCTATAAGAGGGGGGCTCTAATCCAATAGGACTGGTGCCCTTATAAAAAGAGGAACAGACACCACAAGTGGTTTGCACAGAGCAAAGGCCATCTGAGGACACAATGAGAAGGTGATATCTGCAAGCTAAGGAGAGAGGCCTCACCAAAAAACAATCCTATTGGCACCTTGATCATGGACTTTTAGTCTCCAGAACTGTGAGAAAATAAATTTCTGTTGTTTAAGCGACCCAGTCTGTGGTATTTTGTTGTGGCAACCCAAGCAATCTAATACAATATTCACTTTGCTTTTCTATTTTTAGATTGTTCTATAATTTGGATGTTTTACATTTTGGAATAAGAAATTTCATTTTGAAAAAGGTAATTTAATCACATTTATAAAACTAGAAAAAAGTAAAATTATTGAAGAAAATAAAAATGTATATTCATAACATATCCAACTTTTGTTCTTGTAGTGGTCTCCACACCGCCATACCTCTCTGAACTAGAATTCTTCCTTGCCTTTAAAAATCAATAGTCCTGTTGATGTGGCTGTAATGGGAATCTAATCCTTAAACATATCTCATAACCCAACAGAGTATTCCTTTTACTCAAAACTATGGATTACACAATAAGGAATTATGATTAATGGTGAAATATCATTAATAAGTCAATTTTATCTTCATGCTTGCTCAGAATATCACTTCTACTTCCTCCCTGTCATTGCAGTAGTAAGCTTTGACCACGAGTATGTTTTATGTACCATTATATAAAATACCACTATATAAACAGAAATTTGCTTGTCTTTACAAATTAATTCACAATATCTTGGTACATCTCCCATCAAGGACATCTGAGTTCCCCATTCTCAAAGGTTAAAAACATTCACACAGGGAAAGAAAAAATAATTAAATAACGTGGATGCTTTCTTTGTTCTTTCAAATCCTGGAAAATGAAAAATAGATTACAAAAGCTGTTTACCAGGGAATATGGCTTTGGGTCCACTTGCTCTTAATTGCAAGCCCTGGGTAAAAGAAAGTTGAGAGAAAGGTTAAAATTATTTGAAACATTTTCCCAAAATTCAGAAACTCTAGAAGACCCTTTGAAAAGTATAGGAAAAATACATAGTGTAAAATGATAGAAAACCAAGTATGTTAAGAAGTCTTTAATTTTTAAACAAGAACGTGTATTGAATAAGGGAAGAAAAACTGTCAAAGAGATTGAGCAAAATAGTTAAAAGTCACATACCTAAAAATAAAAATGAAAGAATTTAATGCCTAGGAGAGTCAATTCTTAAGGTTATTAAGTCAAGAGGTTTATCAATTCAAATTAGAATGAGCATTGTATCAAATTTCAGTAGTCAATTCAGATTGTGATTCTTATTATAGTTATTTGCTAAAAAGCCACTTTCTTCCCTCTCCATGTTTTTGGTCTGTTTTAAAATAAACCCCTTTTAAAAACCTTAACAGGAATAACCCCAAAATCAGCAGGTTTTGTGTGTGTGTGTGTGTGTGTGTGTGTGTGTGTGTATGTATAAATTATATATAAAGTATATACATACATATATTATACATATGTATAAAGTATATACATACATTTTACATATACTTTGTTGATGTTAACAATTTGAAACATATTCAATTTTAAAATGTCAATGGGGGGAACTATTAATAATACATGTGGTAACAACACCTCATCCTAAAATCCCTCACTGGCCACCAGGGGACACTGTTCCCTAAACCTGATTAAAGTTGGCTCCTGCCAAATTCCTTTCCTCTCTTGAAATTATTTTCGTCCAAGATTAAGAAGTCAAGGTTAAAATTGAAATGTATTAGGTGAGGCAGCACTATTGATGTACACACTGTGGAAATAATCTCTATTGTCCTGTGACCTGGCATAAATATTAAACAATGTGTATTTTTATATGCAGAAAAAAACTTACATTATATGACATTTATAGGGTTTTTGTTGTTTTTTTTAGATTTTTTTTTTAATTGGGGAATTGGGGGATGGGAACAGTGCTGGGGAATTGGGGGAAGGGGAACAGACAAGTTGCTGTCGTTTTGTTCTTCAGTCTAGTTGTGGAGGACGTTGCTTCACTGGCCCAAATTGGCACCATCATTGCGCTCTTCCCAGGCAAGGCAGATCAGTCGCCAGCTTCTGGAGGGCCGCTCACTGCGGCTGCTGGCTGCTCACGCTGGCTGCTGGTTACATACGGTAGCCCGTGGCAACCCACTGCAGCAGGGGCTGCAGCCTACGCCATCGCGGCGACTCACAGCAGCCCAGCTCCAGGTTGAGCTGCTGTTCAGCATCTTAGTTGTAGAGGGCAGTGTCACTGGCCCTCATATGTGGGATCTGAACCGGGGCCCTCTGGCATCCCAAGCCAATTCTTAACCATCGCGCCACTCAGCCGGCCCAGTTTTGTTTTTTTTTTTAAAGAAAAAGGCGTTGAACTCACAAAATAAAACTATATTTTTCCATTCATACAAATATTTGTCTGTACATGCATCAAAGTAGTTCTGGAAGGGTACACTTTATTTTTTTATTTATTAATTTTTTTAAAGAAATTTTATTGGGGAACAGTGTGTTTTTCCAGGACCCGTCAGCTCCAAGTCAAATAGTTGTCTTCAATCTAGTTGTGGAGGGTGTAGCTCCGTGGCCCAAGTGGGAATCGAACCATCAACCTTGGTGTTATGAGCCTGTGCTCTAACCACTGGAGCTAACTGGCCACCCCCTGGAAGAGTACACTTTATGTTGGTAACAGTAATTACCCCTAGGAGAAGACTAGGATTGGGTAATGAGTTAAAGAGGATTTAAAATTTTTTTCTGTATTACTTGAATCTTTTACAATGGTGAATGTATTGATATAATTTAAAACTTGTTTTCTACTATAGAACTCTTTATTAATTAAAATGCACATGTAAATGAGGTTAATTAACCCAGGGGAAAACATTCTATTAAACTATGTCAAGGAAGAAGGGTGCATATATAAATCTTGAATTTTTTTGGAAACAATTTCATTTTCAAATGTTATCCCACTTACCCCCCCACCATGAATAACATCATAATTGTCATGTATACTGATTCATGGGTCAAAAATATTTGCCACTGAAAGCATATGATCAATGAACCAAGAATTTCTGGTTTAGGGCCATACAACAACCCTGTCTTTGAAAAGTACTTGTTAAAGTCCCTCTGTCTTTGGCGAGAGAGAGAGAGAGACTACAGAGGGTGCAAAAAAAATGTATGTATACACATTTTAAGAAAGGAAGAGTATTAAAATTGTAATAATACATACCGATAACAAAAGACGAATACAAGTCACGTTTGACTTCTGTAATTACAAGAGGAGCTCAAACTGGTTACCATCAGTGTCCAGACACTTCTGATTACGGCGAACTACTGCTTGAGCAACGTTGACCAAAGTGTCCACTTGTACATTTTTGGCATTCCCAGTATATATATATATATATTTTCCCCCCTACACATACATGCCTATGAAAAGTTTTAATTTATAAATAGGCACAGTAAGGTGCTGTGTCCAGCATGGCTAGTCAAACGGGCCGAAGCGGGGGCGACGGAGGATTAAGAAAAGACAAAGAAATAGTTGAAAGCAGGGGCTAGATGGACAGCTGTCTCCTGATAGGAGGACAGTGACCCAGTCTAGCAGGGGTGGTTTACTTATATGTAGCCTTGCTTATGCGGGGCAAGGGGAGGGAATGGCCTTGGGCAGAGGATGTTCAGTGCATCAGCTACAGGATGTTTGCAACCAATGTTGCAATAAATGTATCGGACCCAGGATGTTTTATTATCAGCATAGGAAACCACCTCTGTATGCTGAGATGCTGTGTCAGCCTTGCAAAAACACAGCCAGAGTGTGCCTTGCACCAGCCTCTCCTTTACAGCTCTGGAAGGTGGGCTTGGTCTCCCGCAGTAAGGGATTAACAATAAGTAATAACACAGAACAATTATAATATGCTGTAATAAAAGTTATGTGAATGTGCTCTCCTCAAAATATCTTATTATACTGCACTCACCCTTCTTGTGATGTGAGATCACAATGCCTATGTGATGAGATGAAGTGAGGTACTCAGAATAGCATGCAATTTAAAGCTTATGCGTTATTTCTGGAATTTTCCATTTAATATTTTCTGACCACTACTGACTGCAGGTAACTGAAACTGCAGATAAGGGGGTCCTGTTGTATACCAAGTATATCAATATCCCAGTCTTTAGAGTGGGGTTCAGAGACAAGTCTTGAGTTCAGGAATGTGTACTGGCAAGAATGAAGCAGAGTCCATTTGTAAAGGGACTCGAGTATGCAGGTTCACAAAGCTCAGACATTGTCAGGTAGGGCCCAAAGGGGATATGGGACTCTTAGCAATACAGAAGCTCAGTCTTTAGAACTAGAACACAAGGCCAAAGCTAGGCCAGCAATTGAGAGTTAGGCAAGCACTTCTCACATTTCTCCTGCTTAAGGTTAAGATTGGTCCTACAGATAAGATCATGGTTAAGCCTATACATTGGATAAAGGTCAGGGAAGAAAGGAATGGGTCCAGCAGGGAAGAAAGGAGGGTTGCAAAGGCTGAGAATGCCGGAGGACCTGACAAGGAAGCCAAGATGGTTGCTTTGTTACAAAAAGGTTCCTAGGTACTCAGGAAAACCCAATACATGTTGTATGAATAGGATTTTTATTCATAGTATTTCATCTATGATTAATGTTACATTTTGCTGGGCTTGACAGACTTTTTACCATTGAGATGCTTATGGAAGAAAGTTTGAATTTGTTGCCAGGCATCTACCTGTGCCCTTGAGTGAGCCTTTGGATCACCTCCATAGAATACTGGTAGGCCCAATACTGCATGCATAGAGGCTCTAGAAGGAGGAAAATAAGGTGGGTCAATACAATGACCAGTTTCTGGATAGTAGATTATTTGGGGTCTGTCTTTCCCATGGGCTTGTAACCGTTCAGAGGCTATATGAGCATAGAAGTCACTCCTCCAGCTATGGTCATCCATGCTAACAATAAACAGGAAGGGCCCCTGGGCCTTTTCCAAAGGAATAAGACTTTGGCGGTTGGGTTCCTCCAGTGGATTGTTCCAAATATCCATGAAATCTAAAAGACCTGACTCAGTGATTGTATGTTTCCTTAGGTCACTGCCGAGATCAGGAATAATCATATCCTTGTAATGCAGAGGAGCTATTGAATTGGCCACACAGGAATTGATAACTACAGTGGCTGTGATGCCCTTCAAGAAAGAGGCCATTGAGAGACACAGGTCACCTCCTTTGGAGAAGCCAAGAAGCCCAACGCCAGGGCCTTTCACCTGATGAGGAAAGAGAGAGAATCTATAAATGGAGAACAGAAATAGTAATTTTTACATTCTCTAGGGAGCTTTTTCAAATGTCCTTTGCTTTCCTTCCTTATGCAACCATCTACAAAGTTCAAGTGTGTCTTCTAATGAGCAAATCAATTGAACAGGCCCTCCACTACTATTTATGGGGTCTGAGTCAAGAATACACACAGAGGCCTATATACCCTATACTTAAATATTTAAAAGTTATAAATCAAATGAACAAACTTAAAATATATCCTTTTCTCCTACCTTGATAAATACGCCACCATAACCACTTATAAGGTTCAAATTTAAACTCTTGGAATTTCTTGGCGTTCTGTACTTGAACATGGCAATTGGAGGAGAGCCAGCCCGAGTCCCTGGTCCCTGGCCCACCCTCCACTTCCATCCCTGGCTCCATCATGAACCTTGAGGGGCCTCTCAAGGTCCATCAGCCTGTATGTTTAAGGCTTATGTGTATTAACATTGAAGGACACTGAGAAAGCGGCATAGGGCCTAGAAGCAGGGTCAATGCTATTGGGCAGCGGATTCTGGGGATCCAGATCCCAAGGGCATGGTAGGAGGGGGGCCACATAGGTTCCAGGTGGACACATTCCCTTGGTCCCTTGGACTCCTCATCCTGCGGGTAGAGATGCAGCCAAAGGAAGGCCAGAGTATAGCCATCTAAAACAAAAAGTCCAAGGAGGAAGCCCCTTTTGCCTAGGTTTAAGGGTAGAACTGATAGTATATATTGGTCTCTTCTTTATACCAGGGCCTTATCTCCCCCAAATAAACCAAACATCACAGTTGAAGGTCATCAAGGTTTTAGCAGCTCTGCTAAGAGACCAATCCCTGAATTTTAACAGTTAAACCATCCTTGCAGAACATCTTATTCTTTAACATTAAAATGTTTAGGTCTCTTTATGTTTAGATAGTAGCACAGAGTATGTATTCCATTTATAATCACTACCAAAATACTTTAATTTTTTTCCACTATCAGATAAGAACTTTCTCTACAAAACCATAATACCATTATCACACTTGACAAAATCAATGATTCCTTGGGCCGGCCGAGTGGCGCGATGGTTAAGAACTGGCTTGGGACGCCAGAGGGCCC